GGGGGGGGGGGGGAGCGACGGTTTCTTTATTATCAATTTTCTCTAGCGATATGTCTAAATCGCGTATGAATCAGCCTTTACGTTTCAGGCGTATAAATAATGATACATAAATTGGTTCCGTACAGCTTACGTACGTATCGATTACGTGGCTGCGATGTATACCTTGTGTATTATTTTTTTACGAGAATCGAAGCCGAGGACAGCAGTTAGGGTACCTGGCTGCGGTATTTCTTGAAAGTCCATAGGACTCTGACACCGCTCAGACCCTTCCTCTAGGAAGCGGTATTGATTGACAATGCATTGGAAGATACACCTTAGGTATATCGGAAACTATTATGTACGGCGCCTATGGTGCTTGTAAACTATTGAGGGAATTCGTCATTGTTATTTTTTCCTGTCGCTGCTCATCGGTAAAACCTACGAGTACAGGTACGCGCATAGGGCTACCTGTCTTGCTTATTCATACAATTACTTTTCAACGTATACGCCTATATTCCAACGTAATGAAAATATTGTCGCGTAATCTTTCTTTGGCTTTAGGTTGATTATCGTTAAGATTATTATAAATACAGCGATGTCCTATCTCCGTAAGGGAATGTACAGTTTGAAGTCGAGTATAAGTTTGTTTTTTTTCTATAGATTGCATATCTACGAGAAAATCCACATTTATATCTCGATTATAAATTTTTTAATTAAATTTTATCTATCAGGGAATTTTAAGTTTTAACACGATTATGGATTTTTCTGTCTCTCGTTATCTTCCCGTATTTAGTCCTCTTTACGCGTGCCTGAGCTCATTGAATGTTACGTAATGCACTGTAGGTTGAGTGCCGAGGCACGCGCCTTCACCGGGTCATGAAATTTGGTTGATATTATCTGGCACGCCCTTCCGATTTGCTCTCTCACGCATTACTTATCGCTGCATTTCATCGTCTACTTGTGCATACAGTGTACAACTTGTGCACCACGGCACGGAACAGTGTATATAAAGTGGTTGCGCCGTAGTGGAGCTGGTCGTTGTTAACATCGAGCGAGGAAAGGGAAGGCGCGTCGAAATCCACGAAAATGATATTAGACGACCAGAGCCCTTTAAAATTTCAGTCCCCGTCGCTTCCAGAAATTCGCTCTTCCTCGTAAAAGTAGTTCCAGGTGAATCCCGTGGCGGCGCCACTTGCATATTCCGCGAAAGGATCTGGTGAAACCCTACGCGAAAGCCCAACCGTGCGAGACTCCGTTCTTCGACCCATTTTTTGTCACCCTTTCAATCCACCCAACAGCGACAGAGTCAAGGGAAAGTCATAATACGATATTCGTTACGTCGGCAGCGATTCCACGAAACGGGGATCCCTTTGGTAATCGATTCCCAGCCCGAAGAAATATATCGATACTCCCTACCGAGAATTCAAATCGCGTCGCAGTGATTTGTAATGTCGGGGAGAATTCGTAAATTTTTTTTTTTTTTTGCACCGCATAATTTTTTCAAGAGCAACGATCGCGGTTCGTCGATGTTCCGGAAAAGTGAAGCAAAAAAATGTTGACACGTGTAAAAAAAAGACGCAGTTTAACTGCAAGGCGAGAGAACGATGCATGAGCCATAGCCAGTAGGTAGACTTGGCCTGTGTACGTGCACGTGCATCGTATGGCTTGCTGTACGTGTGTGGGACAGTGCAGTTCTCGCGGCCTTGAGAGAGGGACTCTTTGTGCAGTTGAGCGCTCGCTGCATCGTGGTTGGCTCTCTCGGTGCTTACATGTAACTACTCGTACGTACTATATAACGTATGGCTCTCTTATAGAGTCACTGTAACATATACTGTAACAAGTAGCATTACGTTTATGTACAAAGGGCGTTCCGTGTGAGTCATGTGCTCTCGCATATGCTACCGTACCGCGCGGGTATATAAAGCACATAAACTTGAAGTGCATGCGGGTGTTGGCCACGTGCGCGCTGCACTTTTTGCCCGGTCGCTCTTTTATTGCATCGCACGGCTGCACTTTACGTTTTCGTTGGCAGCCACGAAATTTTTAAGCGGCCCTCCTATTCACGACGCGAGCGCCATCTCTCGGGACTTTCTCGCGGCAGAAAGAAACGAAGCTCCAACTCCGGCGCGCTGTGTGTCCCGCTGGCTCGGGGAAAGTACATGCGCGTACATAAACGCTCGATCCTATCGTACGATAGTACTTGAAGATAGCGGTTAATCGAAGTAGGTGACGATGTGGTAAACCGTATTGCACAAGCGAAAGAGCAGTCGTTACTGAAATGTCAAGGATGCAACCGCGTGCATCGAACAATGGCCGTAGGAGTGCAATGGAGTTGCTTGCTATTTTGTCACGCGTAAACCGAGTAAAAGTAACGTGCAAATGTCTCTGTGCTACCCGCATAACTTAAAAATGTCCCCCCGAGGGCTCCGCGTTGGATTCACGCCGGGCGCATAACGGAGTCACGATAATTTGATAAATTATTGTCTGACGTTACAAAGGATCTAGGAGATTTTGCACCTACGGTATATATATACATATAACCTCTCTCACTCTTTCACATTCTCTGTCCTCTGTCTTCGTACGCGAGATTTCGATGTCCTCCAATGTCTTGCAGCGAGGCATCGTTATTTACTCCTTTTATTATCGGCCTCTCGAGAGACTCTCTTTGCCATGAAATTCAGAAGCAGGAACGATAGACTTATCGCTGGGCATACACTTCTAGGAATTTCGTATGCGTTAGATAATAGTGTACACAGTGGCCAGACACGCAGTCTACCGTGGAGGATCGGATAGAGCATACTTTTTTTTTTTTTTTTTTTTTCCCCAAGAAAAGATAACGTCTGTCATAATTCTATCTTTTCGTTAATTACAACTGTAGACAGCGTGACCAGTCGAGCGAATACTTCTCACTGTGAAAATCCTCATTGGTATATGGTCGTGGGGGAATTTTTCGTAAGGGTCGTTAGTAGTCCTTTCGTAATGAGAGCAAAAAAAAAAAAAAATGAAAAAAAAATGAAAAAAAAACCCAGCACGACGATATCTATTTGCAGAGGGATTTCTCCGAAATTCGGATATCCTGCGCATGATGGCGGCTATCAGGAAGAGCGGCTCCTAGCCAATACCTTGCCTCGGATATTTAAAGAACCCTCTCGTACAAGAAGGTAGCAAAAATCACAGTAAGAAAGCGAGTTCGCTACTCATCCGTGACGTCTTCAATCATCATTCGTCATCCGCTTGACTTGCAGTCGAGATCAGCTTAGACCATACCCATTGCTTTACGTGTTTTCCTAGTAGCATTTGTAATCAATAGCAGAGATACTAGAGACCATGGATAATCGAACAGTCGATATCTTAACAATGGTATCTATTGTATCGTGGCGTGGAAGGATATTAATTTTTTGTTTTCTGTTCGTTATGTTCGCAGACCGTCTACCACGTCGGGCCGGCGACGTACCCGGATCCCGAGAACACCCAGTGGTCCTTGTCGATTCCGATCTCTCTCGTCTACCCTTGCCCGACCTGGTACTCTCAGCCGTGGAACAGCTACCACCGCCCACACCCTTGGTCACGGTCTCGGCGCCCAGCAGCCCCACCAGGGATGCTGCCTTTCAGTTCCCCGAGTGCAGCGCCGCTCCTGTACCAAGTCCACGTGCTCGACCACGAAGACGCAGGTTGACGTCCGAGGGTTCCGTCTTGGAGAAGGAACGGGTCAACGCCAGCTGTGGACAGATCGGTACCGTCGTCAATGAGAGGGAGTGGACCAGTGTCGGTACCAACCTCAGGAACATCGCCGACGACTTTCACGCGGCTAAGACCAAGGTAAGCTTTTTCTTGGTCTCTCATAACACACTTGAGTAAATTCCGTCCGCTGTTATCGCGCATTTATTTCAAGTAAATTCCGTCCGCGTGGCTCTTCTACACGCTTCGGTCCGAGATACCGGAATCCTCTGGGGAATTTAACACGGGAAATCTGTAGGGTGGAAAACGAAGGATCGTTGCAGGGCGCTAACCGGGGTCATAAACACGAATTTAGTTATCGCCCCTCGATCCCGGGGGTGCGATAAATATAAGTCTCACCACGCAGAGGAGACGTCTCTGGTATATCTGTAGGGATGCTGTGCTTCTCTTACGCTTTCTTCGAGTTCGTCCCCGCCACGTTTGATCCTTCGATCAAATATGTATCGGACGTCTATTCCTCTCGGGAGGCCATCCCGCGAGACAATGGACCGAGGACGTCGGTATCCGTGGTACCGATCGATCCGGAAACCTTCGCCGAAGAAATGACTCCTTTATTCGGTTTAAAGGTCCGCGAAGGAGAATTCAATCCCGGCCGCACTAATTATAACGTTTAAGTGCTGCTAATTGATGGGGGAGATGAAAACCGTGAAATTACGAATATCTTCTCGATCGGAAACCGATCTTCTCATTCAGGGGATTCTCTTACCCGTCAGTCTCCTGTATCGCCCAAGAAGCCTGTATATACTTCCCGTTGTACGCTTGACAACTTTAATCGACGGCTCCGCCAATGTAACGGGATTCCTTTGATCGAATTAGGCACTCGAGACAGGAGTACCGATCCTGTCCGATTTTTGTCCTTGGTGATATCTTTTCTTTTTCTCTTTGCCTTCCCCGTGCTCTCGATGGTCAACAAACATTTCCGCATCTTTTCTCCCGTTTTCCATTTTACTCGACAAACACCCAAACTCCCTTTCATCCCCGGCGCGTAAACAAGTCGCGTCTTTCCAATTGAAAATTCGCTCAGACCTGAAACCCGATTCGCAATCTGCCTCGGGTCGCAGGTATATGCACACTGGATCGTCCCGCACCGCCAAGTAGGATTACAAGGGTGGTAGCTGCTTTTCGCGCTGTACGGGGAATCTTACGGGGAATCTTAGGCGTAACCCTTGCACCCCGTCACTGCTACGGGAAGCCGTACTCGGTTCGCTTTACATATGCATGGGGAGTAAGCAAGCATGTAACGGCTAAGTGGCCACATCCCCATACGTGAAAGTTAAGTGGGCATGGCAGCACGAGCACGCGGCAAGCTCTCCATGAAAATTATCCTTCAATTATCAGGTGGAATTACGCTTTTCTTGCGCGCCCTTAACGGTTTCGCTAATTTTCGCAACTCCGCAAAAATCGACGTTATTTTCAATGCTTATTATCGCTAGTAACGTGATAACGATTGTTTGCTGAAAAGAAATGGCCAGGTACCGTATTGCCTTTTTCTTTCTTTTTTTTTTGTTTTTTTTTTGTTCCGATGCTTTTAGTGGCAGGCACTGTTAGGCACTCCGGTATATTATATTCCGACTGTACTTAATATTTTCACAGCTTTATACCCACACCGCGAGAAATAGTAACGTAATAATATCCAATACCCGATCGCTTTTCTAGTAGCCACGTTGTATATCTATATATCTTCTCGCACTACTCCACTGCCATTATTGACGTTATACTCGCCGTGCACCGCCACTTATTGTCCCGTAGCCTCGACCGCAGCAGCTTCTGTGCCTCTGGGACTTTTTCTTATCTCATCGAGAAAATGGCCACTACGGCCGACCGGAGCGATTCGGTTTTTACGGGCAAACCGCGCAATTACGTTGCACAATAATCGATCGCGTCGTTTCCAAGCATCGAGCGTGGCTCTCGTCGAGGCGCATTGCTGCCGATAGACTCCTTGCGGGAGACGGAAAATTGTTGGGCGTAGAGGGAAGAAGAAAAAGAGAGAGAGAGAGAGAGAGAGAGAGAGTGATACTGCCACGAGAACGCAGACAAAGAAGATAAGGGAGAAGTGTCCGGTAATATGGGATTGGCGAGGAATATTAAGGAAAGCGAAGGAAAAGTTCTTCTCTATTAATTGACGTAGCGGGGCTTCCACGACTGTTCTTGAGGATCCTCATAATTCTTTCGTAATGTGACGGGGGGTTGTTTTTTTTTTCTTACTTTTTTTTCCTCTTTCCGTTTCTTCACCTCCCTTTTATAGTATATACACATCTTGTATGGTACATATATACATATATACACGGTTCTGATAATCTCTCCTATAGGACGCGCGATGTACGTACATATATACGGTGCGAGCGGAGCAAATGTCGAGGGTTCGGACTTATACGCAGGGATGACCAGATATTATGGTCGGCCATAAAAGCGCCTTCGGAGATTGGTCTTCCTCGTGTTTATTATCCCGGGCGTGGATTAAGACGAAAACGGGAATCGGAAGCCGAGAGAATAGGGTCACGGCTGGTGATACCATGGAAACAAAAGAAATTCGGCGCCTCGAGTATGTTTCTCTTATATATCCACTTCGTCCCATAAGTATTATACGCGCAACGAGTGCGGCGGCCACGCCGGGTCTCTCGACGTTTGCGTATTTATATACGCCACACCTAGAGGCTATATCCGGTCTCTATATCGCGACTGCGCTCCGACGCGCTCTGCACTTTCGTGAATTTTGTGACGTTAACCCGCGCGGAAACGTCATCGTGCGAACTTGCGGTGACGGGCGCAAGGGCGGCAGGGACGGGGGAAGGTACTTTTATCGCGAACAAAGGAAGAGACGATTCCGCAAGTAGTGGAAGGGGCCGCCAGCGGCACTTGGCGCGCGGAATTGTCGGCGACGCTTTCAGCCCCGTAATTCGGCCCAATTAGGACATTCCCAATTAGGGAGTTTTACCTTACCTTACCTTACCGCGCTTTGCCTTGCCTCCACGAGTGCAACCACTTTTCTTTACAAACTCGCTACTGCCCTCCCCTCCCCCTCCCCACCCCTCCCCTCCCCTCCACTTCTCCATCCTCCTTTCTCCTCTCTTGGCTACGTTTCCCTCGAAGGCAAAATTTATAACGATTCGTCATCGTATCCCAGTCCTACCTATTCTTATTTACCGGCGCGAAGTTTCGCTCTCACTTTTCCACTAACGACGCCCTTCGTTTCGCATGATGATGTTGCAGGACGCCGAAGTCGAGAAATCGAGATTGCCCTTCATCGGCTCGGGATTCTCAAGCTCCCCGTCCACGGACAGCCTGCTCTCGCTCCTGATCCCGGCTCCACTTCGGGAGACTCTGTGGACGACAGTGGCCCTCTACCTTGGATGGAGACTCGTGTCCCGTCTCCGATAGAGCACCCACGTGACAGCCAGTGCCAGGACTATGCCCTCTGGGACGGGACTCCCTTCTCGCCAATGGGACCGGTGAACCAGGAGTATCGGTTGTTGGGACACTTACGTTCCTACTGTGCTCGAGAGTCGATTCGTGTTCCCTCGTCATCGTGAGTCATCAGCGAGATGCACGAGAGTGTACTGCGCTAGCGCCAGCTGGACGGGGGACGTCTCGTCGTCGTCAATCGGAGCCGAAGACAGGCCGAAGACGCAGCTCAGCCTTGCGGTAGTGGTAGAGGAGGTTTAAGGTAGGAAGGGGGTCGAAGGGCTAAGGACGAGATCCAAAGAGGACTAACCGAATAATCAAATGATGATCTCATTACGGATAAATAAAGAGAATTAAATAAAATAGTGATTTAAAGGAGTTGCGCGTCTTTACTAGTAAAGCAAAAAGAGATTTGCAATCTGATATGCGTGCGTATTAATTGCGATTAAAAGTGGGGGGGTAGACTCGAGATTTTTTACGAGCCCGGTCGCCGTCGTCGCTCGACTATTATTATAATAATCATTCTCGCCGTGTCGATTGTGCGTTTTGTGTCCATTAAGGTCTTCTTCTTCTTTTTTTTTTTTTTTAATGACGCGAACGTATACCCCCATGGGCTCGTTCGCGAGGTCTCGCGAACAAAAATTCTTCTCTCTCGATCTGTGATACCGCTTCGCGAATTGAGAACGATTTCTCGCCGTGTTTCTTTTTTTTTTCTTCTCCTTATTCATACAATATTGTCTCTGGCAAACGAAAGAACGGAAAAATGACAGAGTCGTTGCCTGTGATTAATCGGAGCCCCGACGGCTCCTCTTCCTTCGGATTAATTATCTCGTTCTCGTTTCGCGTTGCGAAATTGTCTCCTCGCGGGATTCGCGAGGATCGCGATTTCGAGGCGTCGGGACGCGCGAAGCTCGTTACGTCGGGTGGCGTCGATTATTCATCTACTTTCTTTCGCGGACGCCCCGCCGTGCGCGATCGCCGTCTCACGTTCTGCATCCGGTTGTATTATTCTTTGTACATATGTGTTGGAAAGTCACGCGTGTATTTCGAACATTGAAGGGGCGACGAGAAAGTAAAATAATAGTTTATAGAGGATAAGACGCGAGAGAACGAAGCACGTAGGGAAAGTCGAGAGAGAAGTTAAACGTGTATGTATAAAGGCTAAACTAAAGTAATAAATTCAGTAATAAGTTGAGTAAATAATTAAAATAGATAATTGATAGATCGAGGATCGCAGCATCTGATTGGCTCGCTGCGAGGCCCGTGGACAGTTTTCAAATGATCTCCGGTAGCTTAGCTCTAGTGGCGCCCCCTCCAGCGGGATGCATAGTACTTTTGGAAGAGGCGTCTAATTCTTCGTGTCCCCAC